TCTTATTCGTTTTTGTTAATAAACGTTTTATAAGCTAGTTTGTCATTGTATCTTACTGTTTTATTGTTGTTATGCTTTTTAATTAAGAATAACAATGAATCCATCTTTTGTTTTAGTCTTAAAAAGTGAAAGGTGTGTAGATCAAAAAACGGACCGAATTAGCATGCCCTGCTGTAAATTTTGACCGGTTGATGAAAAACAAGCTTATGTGGATTCTACACATTTAAACAACAAAGTATCGAGTATTATTTATGGAGCAGATAAATACATATAATCATTTATTAATCAATTATCATTTTGACTTTTTACATTAGATTTATTTGAACATTTACATTAGATATTTCAACATGCTATTAAACTGTTGTCAGTCATGTTGTCATTTAAAATCCGGACATCATTGGCAATGTTATTGTTTTAGTTATGCAAACAAAAACTCATTTTATGTGTTGTTTGTTGATTTGAAATGTAAAACTTGGTGAAATTATTTGTGTGTCAGTACTTTGTGAACATCTCCAGCACATTTGAACAATACCGTGATAATACTGATAACCGTGATCATTTTGGTCACTATAACCGTGATAAGAAATTTTCATACCGTTACATCCCTAAAAGACACATTAAACTGCTCAAAATAAAGACAATAAAGACATTCAAAATATTACAAAACAATTCTATTTTAAATAAATGATTTTCTTTTGAATCTTTCTATTCATCCAAGAATTCTAAAAAAAGAAAACGTATCAGTTTCTACAAAAGCAGCAAAACAGTTTTCAACATTGCTAATAATAAGAACCATTATTTAACAACTGAGCAGCAGTAATAATTGATAATAATTAAACACCAAATCAACACATTTCATGTGACACTGAAGACTGGAGTAATGATGCTGAAAATTCAGCTTTGCCATCAAAGGAATAAATTATATTTTAAAATATATAAAAACAGATAACTATATGAACTTATAATAAGAATATTTCACAGTATTCCTATTTTTACTGTATTTTTGCTCAAATAAATGCAGTCTTGGTGAGCATGAGAGACTTCTTTTAAAAACAATGATAATTATGATAATTTTTCTGAACGTTTGACCAGTACTGTAATCCATCACTGTTGACCTGTGTTTGAGTTTTTCAAAGCTTTGGCCCTTTACAGCACTGCAGGCCATTCTGTTGAATCCTGACCTGACTTCCACACAAACCTCAGGAGGCTGTAAAGCAAGTGCACAATCAGGACACGTGCAGAGATGGATCTAGAGACTGACCTCCGCACAAACTTGGAGGTGAGCTTGCTGATGAATCCGGACGAGGTTCCCCTGCGGGCCTGGGCGAGAGTGCCCGTGTCGTGGGACAGCGAGGGCGATGCGGGAGGGCCGTTGTATGTTGGATTAAAATGATTTTTATGACATGCATTTGTTAAGGAAAATACTTCTGTACAGTAGAATCAAAACCAAAATCATAAAATTCCTTAAAAATTATTTAAAGGAATCAGTGAACATAAACAAAACATAAAATAAACATTGACTGAAATAAAATAAAATAAACGATTTTTTATAATTGGAAAAAAAAAAAAAACTAGTTGCCAAGGCAATGTTTCTCATTTTCATTTAGGTAACTAAAATTTTTATATATAAACGTATTAAATTTAGAAGAAATTATTCAAATTAATTAAAACAAATAGAAAGACTTAAATAAAAATAATGTCAAAAACACAAAACTTTAAAATTAAAATGAAAACAGAAAATCTAAAAAACGAATTTAAAATATTAACAAACCCTATTATAGTCCCCTTACAGCTGTGGTTGCTATTGTTTGCAATGGATTATTAAATCTAACTTCCAAAGTACATACTGTATTAACCTAACGCCCGTGTCGTGGGACAGCGAGGGCGACGTGGGAGGGCCGTTGTATGTGGCGCTGCGGCGGTCTCTGAGCTGCGCCCCGTGGAAGGTGCTGCGGCTGGAGGTACCCCGGGGAAAGCGGGTCCGATCCGGAGTCATGCTGCTGATGCTGTGAGCTGACGGAGACGTGGACGGAGCCCTGGAGCCAGAGCTGCTGACAGATAAACAGTGATTTAATATATATATATGTATGTATGTGTGTGTGTGTGTATATATATATAAAAACTTTAAAATTAAAATGAAAACAGAAAATCTAAAAAACGAATTTAAAATATTAACAAACCCTATTATAGTCCCCTTACAGCTGTGGTTGCTATTGTTTGCAATGGATTATTAAATCTAACTTCCAAAGTACATACTGTATTAACCTAACGTTGGTTTGTTAATCATACTTTTCATGTGATATGAGCCCCTGGTGTTTGTTTGGTTGTTTGTTTGGTTGGTTTTCTTTTTCGTACATTGTACGTGTTGTTACAGACACGATATATCACGATGTGTCAGTCTTGTAAGTATTTAGAGAAAATGCAATCAAAATAATATTATAAAAAAACAACAACCCCTATAATAGTCTTTGAATGATACTAAAACAGCACTGTCTCTGAAATACTAAAAGCACATCTCTTCACCCCTTGAATTCAGCGTCGTCCTCGATGGGCGGCAGCGGAGACTTGGTGGGGTGGCCTGAGGCGGACATGGACTTCACATGCCGTGGCCGAGTGGACGCTCCTGGAGACACCGAGGAAGATGCACTCGCCGAGGCCGACATCTCCGTCAGACTGAGACAGAGAGACCACGAGAGAGACATAAATGAGATAAATGAGCCAGAAAAATGCAAACATTTGCACACATCCGTATTGACATCTACTGTATGTGTGTGTCTTTATACAGTATATGCATAATAAATATACGCAGTACACACACATATATTATATAAACAAAAATCACGATTAATCGTTGCCCAGCACTATTTTTAATATAAAACCTATGCATGCCACATTCTGTATGTAGACTACACATCCAAAATGACATCAGCAAATTAATTATTAGATTAAAGCAATAATCCCTGTGAAGCCGTGGTTTACAGTAAATTTATAACAGCTAAGGGGCGTTGTGAGACAGAGAGACCACGAGAGAGACATAAATGAGATAAATGAGCCAGAAAAATGCAAACATTTGCACACATCCGTATTGACATATGTGATCGAAAGACCACGTATTATGTTCTTTGGGGGCTAAACAAATATTTATGTCTCTATCACACCAAACGCAACACAAATTGCAAGCAATTTTGCACATTTTAATGTAAAATAAAACCCAAGACCAGGCCTTTTTCCAGTATTTTTTGCACTGATTCTGGAGTAAAATATTAGTGCTGTCAAACGATTAATCGCATCCAAAATAAAAGTTTTTGTTTACATAATATATATATATATATGTGTGTGTGTACTGTGTATATTTATATAAATAAACACACATACATGTATATATTTAAGAAAAATATGTCATGTTTGTATATATATTTATATATAAATTAAATTATGTGAATATAAATATATACATGCAAATATTTTCTAAATATATACTGTATGCGTGTAATAAATACACAGTACACACACATATGTAAACAAAAAATGACAGCACTATAAAATATGTAAAACTGAGCCGAGAGTATATAATCACATGCTACAAAATACTTATTTTAGCATCCTTAAGATATGAATATAATTTTTATTAATGTTTTCAATTCGTTTTAATTTATTTTAGTACATTCACTTTAAACTAAAAGAAAATGAGACATGTTGAATTGAACAATAAGCTGAAATAAAAATAAGCCTAATGTTTGAAAGTCTATTTTATTTCAAGTGACTCAAATGTATTTTAATGGTTTTAGTTTTAGTTAACTATAATAACCCTGGTAGAAAAAGACCTCACAAATCACAACTGCAAGTGTCATATTTGCATATACGAATTTGTGTGTGCAATCTTTGTATGTATATTTTCACAAATAAATCATGATCCATCAGTAACTTTCGTACTTGTTCGAAATGTATGCATTTATTTTTAAATCACATTCAAACATGCATGAATAACTGAAACCACACATACGCAAAAAACAACAACAACAAAAAAACACTCTGGATGGCCTTATAAATGTGTTAAGATTTAGACATTTGAAATATCTGCACTGTGCGAAATGCCCTTCTTTTCGTTTTTACCTGTTTGTTACCATTATGGTTTCCACACCTGCTCTGGAATGAACACATGACCCAAGATCTTGTGTCTTATTGGTCAGTGTTTTTGTTAAGCTAATGTTCATGTGAAGAGGTTTATATCAACACAGTTTTAAAGTCTGCTCACCTGCTGTCTTTGCCGTTGGGTACGGCTGAGTACCGGTCTGTACTGGATCTCTCACACACGTACTGGGCTAAATAAATGTGTTATTTAGAATGAATTGAAATGTTCTCTGTGTGTGTTTTGTACCGTGGTCGCTGAATCGCCGCTGTTTCTGCGTGGCCGAGATACTGCGCTGGACTTTGGAGTGTGCGGGTGACTGCGTAGAGCTGTTGTTCAGGTCGCTGCTGGGTCGTGACCTTTGACACAGGTTTGTGGTGGACAGCGAATCGCTTCCTTCAAACTAAAACAAGATCAAGGTTATTATAGTTGACTAAACTTTCGCATTTCAGCTAGCTATACAAGGGCAAAATTTCTTATTTTTATGTACTTTAACTTGATGTAATAAAACGAAATAAAACAAATGAAACACAACACAGACATTTAAAAAAGAAAAAGAAAAACTACTAAAATTGATTAAAAACAAAACAGAATTACTAAAATTGGAATAAAATTAAAATGAAAACGGAACTATAAAAGTACAAAATTCATTCAAAATATTGATAAAAAACTATAATAGTATCTCAATGATGGTAAAATAGCACTGCACAGAATACACTGAAGTGGATGAGAGCATTCAGTAATTACGACTGATGTTTTGGTTAATTAGTTAATTAACACGCATGACTCACCTCTGGAGGTTTCCTGCCCAGCAGAAGATACGTGGCCATGACCTCATCATACTTCTGCCCTACTAAGGCCTCTGTGATCTCATCTTTAGGGAAACCCATAGTGATCATCAGCTCTGGAAAAAACAAAGATACACACAGAATTTCATTCTCATTGTATGTGATCCCTGCATAAGCGCACATACTTTTGGCCATGTAGTGTATGATAGAGACATAATATCTTGATTTTTAAGCATTATTTAAAAAAATGCATTAGAAGGAAATAAAGAGAGAAAGACAGAAGGGTCAGAGAAGGTACAAACCTATCCGTTTGGTGTCGCTGAAGTCTGGCTCAGGTTCTGTATAGGGCTTCAGTTCCTCTTCCTCGTGGCCTACATTCATCCAGCGGTCCTTCATGATTTGCTGTGAGGCATTGACAGACATTAAATTACACCTTTGCATATGAATGTATATTTATTTACTATTAATATTTCTTCAATTATCAGTTTTAGCATGGACGGTTTTTCACCAAAACAAAACCTTGAGGGTTTAACTCTTGCAGGCAAAGAAATTAAGTCATAATTTTAGTTTACAGTTGTAAAATTCCAATACTTATATTACTTATTATGAAATGCAGTGCAGGTGTACTTTCAAAAGCAATAAAGCATGTTTAAATTGCTCTAAATGTATGGGATGATAGTAGACTCAAAATTATTAATAGATGCGCGCACAATTATCCATGTACTGCATAAATTTTATATATGTATCTTACTAACCACAAACACATACCTTTCAATTTGAGTCTGTGGAATTCGGGATTTAATTATTGTGCAGCGATTTGTACAAATACAGGCATGTTTGTGAATAAAAATGTTCTGTTCTGCATTAATATATCAAATTTCTCATGCAAAAAGGAATCCGTGCATATGTGGATCAGGTGACACGCGTGCATTAATTGATTATATCAACACAGTTTTAAAGTCTGCTCACCTGCTGTCTTTGCCGTTGGGTACGGCTGAGTACCGGTCTGTACTGGATCTCTCACACACGTACGTATTTCTCCTCGTCATTGCTCCAGCAGCGCTATTCTGTTCACACAAACACACTGTTAGTCTACTGTTAGTCGTATGTATTTGTGTCACGCATCTGAGGCACGTGACCTCTCACCCCTGAAGCTGTGGAGGACTTCCTGCGTTCCTGGACCACCAGAGGAGAGGCGGCCATGTCTCCTTTAGAGCTGGAGGAGGGGAGCTTACACTCCTCCTTCTTCTTCTCTCCCTCCACGCTGCTGGCCTGAGAGCGTTTGTTGTAGGAGACGGCCGGAGGTATGGACGGAGCGACTGCACAGAACCAGACAATCATGCTCAGAACAACACGTCCACGAACAGTTTCAAATCAAAGCGTGTCATCTCCGAGTCAAATGCATTAGATAGATCGATCATTAGTTCTTTTTAGAATATGGGAACTTGTTTTGAGGCCGAGTTGTATTTAAAAGGAATAGCTCACCCAAAAAGGGAAATTCTGTCATTTGCTCATCCTCGTCATGTTCAAAGCTGTATGATTTTCTGTGGAACAGTTGAAAGTTGTTTTGAAGAATGCTGGTAGCCAAACAGGTTTCCGGGTGCCATTGACTTCCATAGTATGGACAAAAAAACGCTATGGGAGCCAATGGGATTTGAAACTGTTTGGTTACCAACATTCTAGAAAATATCTTCATTCCACTGAAAAAAAAAAAAAACTCATACAGGTTTGGAACAACATGAGAATTTTCATTTTTGGGTGACTTTTACTTTAAAATGGTCTTGGAAACCCCAGCAAGTTTTACCACAGACCTAAAAATCCATAATAAAAATTAATTAAAACATTTTTCATTTAAATTAGTGCTGGGCAACGATTAAATCGCAATTAATAATATATGTGTGTGT